ACCAAATCATTTACTTAGAGCTTCACTAATTCCCTGTCCTATTGTTTCCTTACACTATTTTCAAAATATAAAAGAAAGAATTGGACCTGGATACACAACCTATTGGCTCTAGTTGAACACAGGGAAGGGATAAGAAAGACATATTTATTTTGTAGTACCATAGTTTCATCAGATTCTACCAAAGGTAAATGGGGAATAGAGCAGAGAGTCATCTCGGTAACCCTGAGGAAGATCCATACTAAATGAGCACACCACATTATGTGAACTCCAAACTGGAACACTTGGTCTGCAAAGCATCATTACATGCATAGGACAATAAAGGAGAATATTTAGAATCAACAGTGCTGACCTTAGTGGTTTAGTCAGCTCACTGAAGAAGGTTACCAAAAATCTGAGCCTTTGCTCAATTAAATTGAGAGAGCTGGGGTCAGCAAGTGGCATGGTGGTTATGGTGCTGGACTCCCACATGACTGACTGTGATTCAAGTCTCAGATCTGGCGGCTTACTTTCTTACTTTCCCTTTCTCTCTCTCTCTCTGGTCAAACTAAAAATAAAATAATAATAATAATAAATAAAATTAAAGTAATTCTTTCAAAAATAATAATAATAAAGTAAGTAATTATTTTAAAAATTGCTTTGGCACTCCATCTTTCTTATGTTTAAAAAATGATGACTTTCAATTGATCCTACTTTTCCTCAACTTCTTTAAGAAATAAAGGATGGGAATAGAGTAGATTACAAGGGACTTTTGAGTGAGGAAGGCTCAAGGACATGTTCTATTCTTTATCTGGGTCACAGAGAACTTTGCAGAAGCAACTGCACAACTAGAAATCTTTTCAATCAAATAAACATCTAACCCCTCCCCACTCAAGTGATACCCTAGGTCTAGACTGTGACAAGACAGAAATATTACTTATATTTAAAAAGGCTGTCTTGGGGCCAGCAGGTGGTGTGGTGATTAAGGGTGCTGGACTCCCATGTGCCCAACAGTGGTTCAAGTCCCTGACCTGGTGGCTTGCTTTCTCACTTTCTCTCTCTCTCTCTCTTTCACTTTGTCCCTTACTGGTCAAATTAAAATAAATAAGCGAATAAAAAATAAAGTTAATTAAAATAATTCTTAAAAAAGGGGGAGGCAGCAGGTGGTATGGTGGTTAAGGGCACTATATCCCACATGACTGACTGTGGTTTGAGTGCCAGACCTGGCGGCTTCCTTTCTCACTTACCTTCTGTCTTGCTCTGCTCCGCTTTGGTCAAATTAAAAATAAATAAATAAATAAATAAATAAAGTTAAATAAAATAATAATTTTTTTAAAGGCTGTCTCTTCCCAAGCATCCAGTAATTCTCCATGTTCTATCAATTTTTGTCTCTAGAGATGCCTCTTTCTGGCTGTGCACACCATGTATGTCACCCCAACATTTCTGTAATCCATGTAAACATGCAGAAAGCTGAAAACTCATGCAGAGGTGGGTGTTACCTGAGAATGGATGAAAGACAAAAGGCAATATTTTGTGAGAGTGGCTCCATATCTTCAAAGGGCTAGTCAGATAGTATCCTGGTAGATCCCAGAGTCTATAGCAGCATTTGTTAGATACACCATCTGGAATAAGTTCTAGAGGTCTGCAGTCAATTTTGTACCACCTATATAGTTAATAATACTGTATTGTGCAAATTTTGTTAAAAGGGTAGGTCTCATGTTAAGCATTCTTCTGAAAATATAAGGGAGGGGGAGAGAAATAAGGAAGCTTTGGGAGCTGATGGATAATTCTATTGCCTTGATAGTGGTGATAGTATAATGGGTGTTTGCATGTCCAGACTTATCGAATTGTGCACATTAAATATATACAGTTCTTTTTATATCAAATATACCTAAATAAATCTGTTTTTAGAAATAAACAACATCCAATTGCTACAGAAAACATGGAGTTAGAAGAGCTAAAGCTGGATTTTTCTAACCCTGGAATCTTCTTCTTATGCTAGTCCACCAAAGCCAAATGGATTCCTATTAAGCAAACAGAAGGAAAAAGTATCCATTTCTAGATAAGCCTCCCATAAAGCAATGGGGCAGAACACAGACCACTTGATCCTTCCCAAATGTGATGAATACAGTGGGTTATGTGATCCTGCGTTTGGAAAACTTTATAATTCTAAGCGTCTGACTTCTTCACAGCAAACTGCTGTGCTCAGCTCTCATGTGTCACAGTGTCATCGGCCTCCTGTGCCCTCATGGCCCCTATCCTTCTCGTTCCTAAATGATTTCTTCTACTGAATGCCTGCAGTCTCTGCACCTGATGGCTCAGATAAACTGTCAGATCTTGGCAGCTGTCTCTTGGTGGGAAGGTCAAGCAGCCCTCTGAAAAACCTGAACGACCAAAAAATATTATTAATGTACACGTGTAGAGTTTAGAAAGGACAAAGAGACAAGACCTTGGAATACACATACTAGCTTTCCACAATTGGATCCAACTTCCTTCTTTAGAGTCACTACCCTTTTCCCCTCTCCTTCCAGCAGCGTGTACTCAATATGCAGGTTCCATTGCCTCCCTGCCTTGCACATTCCTTTTCTTCTGTCCTTCTCCACCATCTCCGACAGAAAACTCATACTCGCCCTTGAGGACACATAGCTTCCAGCAACTACAGAGTAATTTAGTCATTCTCTCTTCAGAGCTTTTATAAGTCTCCGGACACATCTCTGTTATAATACCGATGAAATTATACTACAATTATGTGTTCAATTTGAGGGTAGAGATTATGTCTCAATTAACGTAGAATTACGTAGCCCTGACAGATGGTAGATAGTAAGTATATTTGCTTGATAAGTGAAAAAATGATCATTGTCTAAATTGTTTGCTTTATTTTTCTGTAAACTTGCATTGATAATGTGGTTGCCTTCAGAATGACATTTTATCCTATGAATAAGTGTAATTTAGGAGGAAAACAGTAAAGGCACTAATAGCATTCTTCCTGAAGGCTATCAATTATGTCAAACTTACCCAAAGAAATGGGGAAATCTCAAAATTCAGGGTATTAAGCATGTCTTTACAACAACAGTGAAATAATGAGTTTATAAAACCATATTTAGAGGCTGGCAGGTGGCACGGTGGTTAAGGTGCTGGACTCCCACATGGTCGACTGCAGTTCAAGTCCTGGACCTGGCAGCTTGCTTTCTCACTTTACTTTTCTCTCTGTCTCTCTCTCTCTCTGGTCAACTGAAAAATTAAATAATAATAACAAATAAAATTAAATATATAAATAATTCTTTAAAAAATATTTTATTTCTAATTTTTCTTAACAGGAATATAACAAAATGTATGTGATGTACTAGGAGCAGTTTCTCCAATACTTTCCACAATTCCTTTTAAAAAATGGCACTGTATCTATTTTTTTTGAAAGATGATTAACCAAGAGTGTTGTGGATGGTGGACAATTGCTAGTTAAAAAAAAAAAAAGAAAAACAAGCATAACGTATATGATCATTATACTTTTCATAGTAATTGTAACAATTACTATGGTTATAACAAACATTCTTATTTTCAGACTTTACTTTTAAATGATGATGACGTTACCATAGATCTTTGAAATTCATCCTTCTAGCACAAATTCAGATTCATCAGTCCAGGCCAAATTCGTCGGTGGTACAATTCACTATTTGTTAATGTCTTTCCATAAGCTCTTTTCCCAGCTCCCATACTGTTTTCCTTTCGGTATGCAATTATCTAAAACTTATGGGGAGTGGGCACCTCCCAATGCTGGTGAGTGTTGCTCTGGCCCTATAGCTGAGATCCAGACAGCTGGGAGTGACGTCATCCGGAATAATAAAAAAGCTTTCCTTGGTGAGCAAGAGACCTCTATATAAGTCACATTTAAGGGTCTGCAGCCCAGTGCACCAGCTTTCTCAAACTTATTCATATTAATAAAGCCCTCGGCTGCTGAAGGAAGCAGACTAAAAGAAGATCTTGTCCTAGGACATTGTAAGGTAAGCACACGTCAGATTTTTCTTTTAAATTCCATACGTTTTTACCATAAAGCAATTATTTAATGTATCATTTTCTACAAATATCATGCTCTTTGTTCAAGGTGAAATGTTAGGTGAGTTTGAATTTATGTTTACTATGAAGTGCCACAAAGAAAATAAATTTACACTACTGAAAACTCTTCACTCATTTATTATTGTGATGAAGTCTTTCTGGATACCATGCTACTAAACACTCTATGAAAACTACAGGAAAACAACTGAAATTTTGTATTTTATGCTTTAATAGTATTTTTGTTGAAATTTTGAAATAAAACTGATGGTGAATAAATAATTCTGGTTAAAATAATCAATATAAATTTAAGAAGGAGAGTTAAAAGTCCATTTTTCCTGCAGAGTATCTTTATCTAAATTTGTTATTTGAAGGCTCATAACAAGCACAATCTGTATATGAATGCTGGATAAGCTGAATTTGATTGCTGAATATTTATTCTCTAAAAAAATGACAACCTTTCTAATTTTGTATTCTGAAAACTGAATCTTAAGGATGTTTTACAGTCATTTCTCAGCTCTTGACATTTAAAAAAACATTTCTTTACTTAATTTTATTTGTTATTATTATTTATTTTTTAATTTGACCCAAGAGACAGAGAGAGAGCAAGAGAACTTTCTAATTTTGTATTCTGAAGCCCCTTAACCACCACGCCACCTGCTGGTCCCCTCAGCTCTTGACATTTAAAAAAACATTTCTTTACTTAATTTTATTTGTTATTATTATTTATTTTTTAATTTGACCCAAGAGACAGAGAGAGAGCAAGAGAAGGAGAAAGTGAGAAAGCAAGCTGCCAGGTCAGGGACTTGAAGCACAGTCAGGCATGTGGGAGTCCAGCACCTTAACCACCATGCCACCTGCCAGCCCCACTTTTGACATTCTAATAAGAAGCCCACCTCCCTATTAAGATCAAGGAAAGAAAGCAGAGATGAGTCACATAGTTGCATGAGATAAGGCTAGAATTAAGCATCAACACTCCTGTCCTCCAGCTACAGTGCTTATTTCAACATAGGCCAAAAATGCACATACTTGTCTGTTCTTAACCAATAGCTGTATATTGCATGGTGACTAGAAATGTAGCAGAGTGTAATGTTTCTTATTCTACTTCTAAATGATGTGGTTTCCCTTTAAAATAGGCATGCACAGCCACTCCAGTGTTTGTAGAGGGTCATCCCTGTAGCACGGTGATTAGGTCCTATGCATGAGGAGCCAGATCCCACATGGCTGAAAGTGGTTCAAATCCTGGTCTCAGTGGATGAAAAACATGCCAAGCACATGTGAGCGTGTGCCCCAAATCCTAGTAGGTTGGAGAAATGAAGAGGAAAGGGCCGTGACTTGACCTTACCTTATTGGTAGATGCTTTCTCTTATTCTCTGGAGACCATACACACCCTCTGGCAATTAAAAAAGAGAGAAAGAGCATACTGAGCACTAGGAAAAAAACACTTCCATAATAACAACCTTGGCAACTATAAAGACATATTGTTGGTCAAAACAAGAATATTCTATATTAATATGAAGCTTTATGAGTAAAAGAGGAAAGAGCTAAAAATTATACTAAAAATAATTGTTAATAAAATATGTTGACAAAATAGTTGCAGACAGGCATTTTATTTAGAGCTGAAACTCCAACTCCTCATGCTAAGTAATTAATTAGACATTTTTAAATGCTGTAACACATACTTTTATCATGCTGAGAGTTATGATAATTTAGTAAAAATCACTAAAACATAGCTTATTTCTTGGGTATTTAAGGTTCTTACTACAGTGCCTGAAATAAGTGTATTCGTGAAAAATAGATTTGCATCATAAATAGTTTTAACCATTTATCTGATTAAGGAGTCCAGATGCTTGCACAGTAACACAACACTCTGTGAGACTCAGGGAGACTGACCTACATGGGAAGCTTCTTGGGTTATGTTTGGAGACCTCCCAGAACACACCGAGCACATGTGTGCTCATGATTTGGGGCTCGCTGAAGCTGGGGATAAAGACCCTATTGGGGGTGTCTCTCTAACTTTCTGACTCACTTGCTCATGGACTAAATAAATAAATACACTTTTTAAAAATATGCCTTGTCAGGGCCAGCAAGTGGCATGGTGGTTAAGGCACTAGAATCCCATGGGGCTGACCTGGTTTGAGTCCCAGACCTGGTGGCTTGCTTTCTCACTTTCCCTCTCTCTCTCTGTGATGAGCACACATGTCCTATAGCAAATTGAAATAATGATAATAAATAAAATAAAATAAATAATTCCTTTTTTTTTTAAAGTGCTTTGTTAAAATAAATAGTCATTTTGGGGCCAGTAGGTGGCGTAGTGGTTAAGGTGTTGTACTCCCATATGGCTAAGTGCAGTTCAAGTTTCCGACCCAGTAGCTGGGACCCTGTGCGAGTGTGCCTGAAATCCCGAGGAGAATAGAGGAGAAGGAATTGTGGTGTGGCAATTTCTCCTGGGGGTGATTTACTTTCTCTCTCTCCATCTCTCTCTGCCTTTCCAGCAAATGCACGTGGCTGATAGCAAAAAATCTCTCCAAAACAGACAAAAATAAGAGAGTGAGAATTAGCCACTTTACATTATAATTAGCAAATTATAATTGTTTAGCGATAACTGACATAAAAGATAGATGGAAATTCTCAAAAGTAAGTTCTTTTATTCCTCTGTGGCTTAAAATTCATATATTAAAACTTGCACAAGAAATGTCAAAAAGACACCTAAGAAAGTAAAACTAGCCTATCTTACTTTAAAATCAAATTATATGGGGACCAGCAGTTAACATAATGGCTATGTCACTGGACTCCCATGTAGTCGACCGCGCTTCAAGTCCCAGACCCAGTGGCTTAAAAATCACACCGGGCGCGTGTGCGTGTGTGCCCAAGATCCCAAGAGGAGAATGGAGGAGAACGGATTGCGGCATGGCCATCCCCCCTGGGGGGTGATTTCTCGTTTTCTGTCTCTCTGTCTGTCTCTGTCTGTCTGGCAAGCACACGCGCCCTATAGAGAAAACCTCTCCAAAAAAAAATTATATGTATATATAATGAATACTCATATATTTGTAAAATAAAGGAGCTGATTCCAAAATCCTCTGATGAAAACCAACCTATTCAGTTACTGTCACCCTCTGTATACAATTACATGACTAAAATGTAAACCACTATACATTTTTTTGTATGCTTTGAAAGATGAAAAATATCTTTAAATACCTCCACTTTGCTTTTCTTTTTAGTGAAGATGATGTCTGCCAAAGACATGGCTAAAGTGATGATTGTCATGTTTGTAATTTGCTTCCTTACACAATCGGATGGTGAAACTATTAAGTAAGTACTATTGTTTATTCTGCATGGTGAAGACATAGGAATTGCATTTTTAAGGTTGGCTTTATGATTTGCAAGTGGAGAACTAATGGAATGGCCTGTTTCTTTTCTTCCAGGAAGAGATCTGTGAGTGAAATACAGCTGATGCATAACCGGGGCAAACACCTGAAGTCGATGGAGAGGATGGAATGGCTACGGAAGAAGATGCAGGATGTGCAAAATTTTGTCGGATCTCCAGATCCAAGAGATAACATTTCCGAAAGCCTTCAAAGGAAGGAAGACAACGTCCCACTTGACAACCGTCAAAAAAGTCTTGGGGAGACAGACAAAGCAGATGTGGACGTATTAATGAAAGCTAAACCCCAGTGAAAACACACGTGAGGGAAGCACAGCTCGAGACAGCGTAGGGCAAAAAGTATGACATGCTGCTAATTCTTTCCAAGCTCTATTACCAAGTGCTAATATTTCTAATATTATCAAACTTCATATGTTATCCACTGGTAGCTGTGATAACAGATTGATTGTTTTGGTCCCATTTTATTCATTTGAAAGCTCTTTGAATGATTCTATTGCTAATATCTATTACACTTTATAATGCAGAATAAAAATGGAATGATTATGATTCTACATAAGGGAAATGAAGTATTTTTTACTTGTTAAAAGTACTATTTTTAGATTAGTTTTATGCCCAATGTTCAAATTGATCATGACTAAGTGAACAATGCAAAAAAATTTTGACATGTGTTTTATCTTTTGATATTTTGAACATTGTTGTATAGTATGTCATAGCACCAGGTCCTCAAATCTACACTAGACAATCCTTACTCTTCATTTGGGAAAGAAAAGTGAGATATTCAGACAAAAGAAAGAAAGAAAGAAAGAAAGAAAGAAAGGAAGGAAGGAAGGAAGGAAGAAAGAGAGAAAGAAAGAAAAAAAAAAGGAGAAAGGGTCTGAAACTTAACTGGAAAAGCATTTTTTCCTATATAAACTAGTACGTTTTCTGGGCTAGGGTCTTGACCTAGCATTCCACCAAACATTTCTTCTTATCAGGGAGTTCACTTCATAGCTAATGACGTATAGGGCTGAACCTTTGCTTGTGGGATTCACGGATCTTACGATGTTCCTGCCTTCTCAAAGCAGCTGGCTTGATAGAACGGTGAAGTAGCTTTCTTAGGGCCAGCAGTGGCCCAGAAGTTAAGGTTCTGGATCCCACATGGCTGGCTACATGGTTCAAGTTCCAGACCCCATGGCTGGAAAATCATGTCGGCCACATGTACATGTGTGCCCCAAATCCTGAGAGGAGACTAGAGCATAAGGAACTGCAGCATGGCCATCTCCCCTGGGAGATGATTTCTCACTTTCTTTCTCTATCTCTATCTCTCTGTCTCTCTCTGGTGAGTAACTATAGCAAAATAAATAAATAAATAAATGAATGAATTTAAATAAATATAGCTTTGTAAAGACTCAGGTGCAGCACCAGCTAGGTGGCAATGCCTGAGGGAGCCGGGGCTAAGTTCTCCAGAAGGCTGTGTAAACAGCGGCATAGACTAGTGGTACAGGGAGCCAGATTCCACACAGCCAACTGTGGTTTGAATCCCAGCTCCCAGGGCTTGAAAAACATTCTAGGCATAGCTGCCTGCAAGCCCCAAATCCTGATGGGATGGAGAAATGGAAAAGGGACTGCGCATAGCACAGACCACAGGAGGATGCTTTTCCGTCTCTCTCTCTCTCTCTCTGCCTCTATCCAGTGAGCTCTTTAGCAAAAAACAAAAAACAAACAAACAAAAAATCTAGTCTGACTGCAACTTGCAACAAATGGTATTTACCGGTTGTTCCTTCATCAACAAAAAACTCTCTTTCTCTCTCTCTCTCTCTCTCTCTCTCTCTGAGAAGGACTTTTGCTATAGGGCACATATACCTGACCAGAGAGAGAAAGAGAGAGAATTCACCCCGTAGGGGGAATAGCCAAGATGCAATCCCTTCTCCTCCATTCTTCTCTCAGGATTTGGGGGCACATCCCCTGCCACCCCCCCAGGAGTACTCTGGAGGCGTGGAGGAAAAAAGGCACAGTTTCTGTAGGAAATGAGGGATGAGGGGCCCGCCCTGCTTGACTCTAGTTGGTGCTATGACCTCTGGGTTCCCAGGCTGGCTGGGGTCTCTGACTCTCTAAGTCCATTCCCCACCTACCTCAGTGGGCTCCGGCTCAAGGAGAGACTGGTCATCCCCACCTGCAACACTTTGCACCACCAGTTGCCAAAAGGGTCTGTCTGTCTTTTGGAAGTCCAGACTGCCCTTGTTTTATGACAGCAGGGATTGCAGAAGGGGGTGTCCCTCCTCGGCAAATGCAGTACTACCCTCCCTCCCCCCACTCCCTTCAGAGAGGAGCCTCTGTTACCTTCACATTAGAAAGTCTGCAGTGAACCCCCCCTTTTTTTGAAGAGGTTTTTGCTATAGGTCAAATGTGCTCACCAGAAAGACAGAGAAAGAAAATAAAAAAATCACTCCCCGGGGGGAACAGCCACACTGCAATCCCTTCTCCTCTATTCTCCTCTCCAGATCTTGGGCAAGCAAGCACATGTGACCAGCATGAGTTTAAGTCACCGGATCTGGACTTGAACCGCATTGACTACACGGGAGTCCAGTGACATAGCCATTGCCCCAACTGCTGGTACCCCACCTCTCAAACCTCTTCTTACCCCCATTTCTCCTTTATGGTCCAGTCCTGGACCAGAGCAGAGGGAGGGACCATGATGGTGGGCTTTTGTAGTTGAATGTACAGTCTTGAACGTAAAAGAAATGATCAGTAATAGAAAGAGAAAGATACTACAAGAATGTAAAATACAGTGTGGGCCATAATCTCCAAACTCATAGTCCTCAACACTGTATCTCAAATATTGAAATCCCAAAAGACCAAAATCTTTACAGTCTAAAATCCTGAACATATAATTTTGGAAAAAATGTTTTAAACCTTTAAAGTACATTCATTTACTTTCTTCTTTTTTTTTTTCTTTAGAGAGAGATGTTTTTGCTATAGGGCACATGTGCTCGCCAGAGAGACAGAGAGAGAGAGAGAGGCAAAAAATGAGAAATCAGTGAGAAATCACCCCCCGGGGGGATGGCCATGCCACAATCCATTCTCCTCCATACTCCTCTCAGGATTTGGGGCACACACGTGTGCCTGGCGTGAGTTTAAGATGCTCAGTCTGGAACTTGAACTACGAGGGAGTCCAGCAACACAACCATTATACCATCTGCTGGTCCCATATTTATTTACATTTTAAGAAGGGATTTATTTGAAAAATGTATAAAAACACAACAGAACTCTTCAGAGGCTACTTTACCCAATACAATAGGCAATAATAACTTTTTTTTGCCAGCAAAAAAATTAAGTATACCAATGACAGTTTCACAGATGCAAATCATAAAGAGAAAAACAGTATTCATAAAGAAATCAGTTAAAAAGAAAATGTCTGAACACATATCACTAAGGTGGGTAATTGTTTACCCAGCTTTCTATCTGCAGTTGTCTGAAATACTGTGATGGATAACCTAAGTCTTTTGATGAGATTGATCAAAAGTCTTGACAGGCACCCACCCCATATAGTTGTCCAAAGAGCCAAGCTCTTGAAAATGTTATCTTTCACAAATACAGAATACATAAAGGGCATCTCTTCATTTAATAAGGAAGTTTCAGTGTCTTTTACATATACACACAATGCTTCACATAAAGTCATGTTATAATCATGCACTTTTACAGAGTCGACTGCAAAAAAAAGAACAAAATTAATTAGAACTTTTGAGAATTTTTCCTTCTTTCTTTTTTAAAATTTTAAATTTGCTACTAGGCACAAGGGTTCTGCCAGAGAGTCAGAGAGAGGGAAAGTGAAAAATATGAGAAAGCACCCACCCCCCTCGAGGGGATTCACACTCTCTACAGGGCATGGCCATCCCTTCTCCTCTCAGAATTTTGGGCATGTTTGCACACTGTGCCCAGCATGAAATCTCCAGGTTAAAGTCTCAAACTACACAGAAGATTATATGGGATCCAGCATCTTAACCACGATGCCATCTGCTGGCCCAGACTTTCAAAAAAATTTTACACTATTTTTACTTCCAGTTCTGGAAATGATTGTTATCGCTTCTTGGCCTTTGACCAAGTGTGGAAATGATGCCAAGTTGAAATACCTAGTATAGTGAATTATAAAAAAGAAATAATGCTGGCAATTTAAAGTAATAGAAGGGGACTAAAGGAGAAAAAAAACTAAAAAAACTAGAAAGAAAATTTGACATATAAAAAAGTATATGACAGGAATGGATTATGGACAACTGTATGGAGTTAGTCCATAGGAGCTAGTTGATTTTCACCATCATTAACTATATTTGAAGTTTTACACCACAAAAAAATTTTTTTTCCTTTTAGGGCACGTTATCCTAGAAGAACATGTTGTTGTTTGTTTTATTTTTTAAGAATTAATTTAATTTAATTTAATTTATTATAGTTTTTTTAAAATTTGACCAGAGTAAGACAGAGAGAAAAAGTAAAGGAAAGTGAGAAAGCAAGCCACCAGGTCTGGGACATGAACTACCATTGACAACATGGGTGTCCATTGCATTTGTTTTCTACACGATGCTGCTCTTTTGAAATTCTTTAATGATTCACTATACAGCCACAGGAAAATACCCAGTAAACTTCTCTGTCCTTCTGTACCATGTCTCTATGTCAAATATGTTTTCTTTCTCTAAATGCATTCTGTGGAATAAAAATTCTACTTTCCTGCAAGTATTCTTATCCAGATTGGTTATTTTAAGGTTCATAGTGAACTGAATATATAAAGGAAAATGCAAGGGGCCAGCAGGTGCATGGTGGTTAAAGGCACGAGACTCCCACATGGCCAGCCCTGGTTCAAGTACTGGAACTGGTGGCTTGCTTTCTTACTTTCCCTCTCTCTTTCTCTCTGATCAAATTAAAAATAATGATAACAAATAGAATTAAATGAATGAATAAATAATTCTTTAAAAAAATAAAGAAAAATTCAATAACCTGAGTTTTATTGCTGAATATTTATTCCCTTTCCATAAAGGACAGCCTTTTCTCATTTCTTTACTGAAAATAAAAATGCACATGAATTTTAAGGATGTTTTACAACCTGATTTCTCAGCTCTTCACATTCTTATAAGAAGCTCCTCTCCCTGGTAAGAACAAGGAAGCAAAGCTGAGATGAATGGGGACAAAAGGTAAACGTAACAAAGCTACGATTAGACAGCAAGGCTCCTGCCTTCCAGCTACAGTGCTCCTTTCTAACAAAAACCCAAACTGAAAATATTTATAATATAAATACTATAAAGTATTTGCTGTTTTTTTTTTCTCTATTGGTAGCTTTATGTTGCACAGTAAACAGAAATG